TAAATACCATTGTTTTACAATTAGGGTAATTAGAGTTGTTAGTCATTTAATAATACCAGCATTAGTCACAATAGCCAAACGGTGGAAACAACCCAAGTGTCCGTCAACAGATGACTGGATAAACAAACTGTGGTATACACATGTGACAGAATATAGTTAGCAATAACCAAGGAATGAAATTCTGATACGTGGATGAGCCTTAAAAACATTAATGCTAAGTGAAATAAGCCAGACACAAAAAGACAAACACGGTCTGATTCTGCTTATACGAGGTATCAAGAATAGACCAATTCATAGAGACAGAAAGTAAAATAGAAGTTGCCAGGGCTGGGAGAGAGGGGAATGCAAAGTTGTTGCTTAATGGTTATAGAGTTTCTGTTTGGGATGATGCAAGAGTTTAGAAAATAGATGGTGGTGATGGTTATGTAACATTATGAATGTACTCACATGCTGCTGAATCGTACATTTAAAAATGGTTAAAATGGTAAAGTCATGTCATGTGCTACCATAATGAAAAAAAATATTTTTTCATTTCATTCTTTTATGATTAGGATAATTAGGATCACTAGTCTTTTAATGGGTTGTTAGTCATTGTCATGCAATTTTTCCACAAGGCATGCTAGAACCCCTGCCACATAGTTGATCATCATAAAGAAGATCATGTTTTATTAAAGAAACAAAGTTATAATCAAGAGTTAACTTTGAGAGTACACAACTAAGGAAGCAGCAATATGTACATTGTAGAGATGATCACCAATGTGCCATAAGAGCCAAGACACTGTAACAGTTGTCACGGCTAGGGACTACTGCGTGTGTTTCCACACAGGAGAGAGGGCAGTAGGGGAAGGCGGCACCTGACTAGGGCAGGGGTGACCCCGTGCAAGGGGTCTGGCAATGTCTAATATGGTTCAGAGAAATGGCCTGTCCCAGAAGACGGAGCAGTGGGGCAGAGAATCCAGAAAGGGGGCCATGACAGAGAGCCAGGTAGACACGTATACCTATGATAAACAGTGGACAGCTGGGAGGCCTGTATATGAGGGCCAAGCTCCCACCCACTGGCAGGGTCATAGGGCAGGACTCTAGACCCAGGGTGGAGTTAAGGATCCAATCAGCATTGGTTAACACCAGACAGAGCCCTTGTTTATCGGTTGCTCAAACTCTAACGCAGACCACCAAGAAGTACACCATGTGTGATTGTAGATAGTGATTGATGCTATTTAAGACTGGATGGAGTGGCTGCTTCAGGTAGAGTGTTCTGGAAAGGCCTTCCTCTGAGAGACAGACCTATGACCAGCTCTACATGCCAACCAGTGGAAGTGTCCTGCACTTGACACTTCTCTTGAATAGACATCATGTCATCTCATGCAATTTATACTTATCTGCTCTGTGTTCAAGTATGGCAGGATGCAGGTGGTGTATTATTGAGAAGAAACTTTCACTAAATGTCATTCTTGACTCACTTTGTAATCTATTGAAAAGTCAGAAAAAATATTACCAGGTCATTAATCCAGACTGCACAAAATGAGCGTCAAAGTTTTTCTGTCCAGAAAATTTCTAGGACGCTACTCTAAGTGGATTCTACCTCCAAGCCGCTAGCCCAGAGTACAAATGCCTGACTGTGGTGCCCAGCCTCAGGCAGTGCCAAGATAGCTCTCCTCATCCTCACCCACCCCCCGCCAGACCCTGCAGTGAGGCCAGCTTTGCGCCAGCTATTCTGGGAGAGCCTACAGACTTCATCTTACCCATTTGTTCTGTGGGTTTTTACTGAGCATCTAGTGTATGCGAGGCTCTGGGGATAAAATAGGGAGACAACCGAGAAACGTGCCCTGTGCCCACAGAACTTGTTGCCTAGTAGAAAAGGCAGACAATTAAGCAAGCAATTACAACAAATTGTAAACTGTAATAATGTTATGATAAGCTGCTTTGGGGATCCTGAGGATAGAGCACATGGAGAGCCGGGAGAAAAAGGAAGCCAAAGTACTTGCCAGTTCTCTTTACCCATTATGTTTTTAACAGAAAATTTTCAGGGCGCCTGGGTGGCTCAGTTGGTTAAGCAACTGCCTTCGGCTCAGGTCATGATCCTGGAGTCCCGGGATCGAGTCCCACATCAGGCTCCCTGCTCAGCAGGGAGTCTGCTTCTCCCTCTGACCCTCCCCCCTCTCATGTGCTCTCTCTCATTCTCTCTCTCTCAAATAAATAAATAAAATCTTTAAAAAAAAAAAAAAAGAAAATTTTCAAACCTACACCAAGGTAGAGAGAATAACGTAATAAAGCCCCATATCCATCACCCAGCTTCAATAAGTATCAATTCATGGTCACTTGCGTCCTCTCTATACCTTTTCCCCCCCAGATTCCTTGGATTATTTTGAAGCAAATCCCAGATATGGTTTCATTTGTCAATATTTTTGTGTTTATTTTGTATTTATTTTATTTTCAACTCCTGGTACAGTATCTGTTCATGGTAGGTGCTCAATAACTAAATTGATTTGTTTGCTAAACAAACATGTGAGTGTTTGGGAGAAAGGCACGTGACAAAGGGCACTGTCCGCCATATTGGAATTTGGACTCAGTCCTGTGGGCACTGGGAAGGCAGTGCAGGGTCTTGAATCAGAGAGTGACATAAAGCGGTTACTCTGTCTAAAGTGGAAAAAGAATCAGAGGTGGAGGCTTTGTCCACAGAGGGATTTTTAGGAGGCTGTTGTACAAATCCAGGCAACCAGACTACAGTTATGTGTAGGAAAGGCTAAGAAATTGGAAGAAGTGAAGGGGAGGGGAGGCAGAAAAAAAGCCCGAAGTAACACTCAGAGATAGAAAGAGGAAGACGAAGGGAAATAGCCAGTAAGGCAGAACAAAGAAAAGAGGTGAGCCAGAGAAAGTAGAGGGAAAAAGTAAAAATGAGAGGATGCCAAGAAGTACAGAGGGAGAGGGGCACCTAGCACCAGGGGCCTGGCAGGTCCTTAATTGATCTCATTGAGCCATACTGGGCAAATGCCCACTGAGAGAGGGTTGCCCATTTCCTGCCAGTTCTCTTTGCCTCTATGGGTTGAGTGCCAGCAACACTTAAGCTACTATTTGATCCAAGGAGGAGGGAGGAGGGGAGGGAGGGAACAAGGGAAGGGCAGCGACAATAGTTCTCAGGGTCTTGTGGGTATCCTAGAAGCATCCAGGCAATGTGTGGGGAGGTGAAATCTAGGCAGGAAAAGAGCTGGCAGGAACCAGACTGAGGGGGAAGAGCCTCCAGCCAACTGGGAGAGTTTCAAGGCCAGATCTTCTCTCAGAGGAAGCTGGAAGGAGAAGAGAGCATAGGGGCTCTGGGCAGATCACCACTGTCCCTGGAACATCTGAGAGGTGTTTAATAGAATGTGGGCGGCTCAAGGCTCCCAGAAACACTGGCAGCAGGGGAGGGGCCAGCCACCCTGTCCTCAAGCACACACTGAGCCCCAGGTGTGGGAGCCACCTGTTGTCCCTGGCCACCACCCCGCCTGCTAGACTTTCAGGTTCAAGGCCTTAGCAAAGCAGATCTTAGAAGTGAACACCCTTTAGAACCCAAAGCTTGGCAGGCAGGGGACCAATATTCGAGATATTCCTATTTTCTAAACTGGTAGGTTTAATAAGGTTTCCTAGCCACCATGAACATTCATTTGTTTTAGGGTTGCTGTGAAGGATTTCCCTCCATACAGCCAGCCTCTTACCACACTGCTTCCTCTGTGGTCTCAGGTGGGCAAGATCTTGGGTGGTGGCTGACAGTCATGGGTCCAGTTTGTTGATTGGGCAGAGTGAATTCCCACAGCTCCTCAGTAAGGATGAGTAGCATTTCTCCTTCTTCTTCTCTCTCTCTTTTTTTTTTAAGATTTTACTTAAATTCAAATTAGCTAACATATATGTGTATTATTAGTTTCGGAGGTAGAATTTAGAAATTCATTGGTTGCATATAACACCCAGTGCTCATTACATCAAGTGCTCTCCTTAATGCCCATCACTCATTTACCTCATCCCCCCACACCCCTTCCCTCCAGCAACCCTCAGTTTGTTCCCTAGAGTTAAGAGTCTCTTATGGTTTGCCTCCCTCTGTATTTCTCTTATTTTATTTTTCCTTCCCTTCTCCTGTGGTCATCAGTTGTGTTTCTTAAATTCCACATATAAATGAAACCATATGGTATCTGTCTTTCTCTGACTGACTTATTTCACTTAGCATAATACACGCTGGTTCCATCCATGTCATTGCAAATGGCAAGATGTCATTCTTCTTGATGGCTGAGTAATATTCCACTGGAAGCATTCGTTCTTGTCCTACATTTTCCTTCCGGGCCAGCCAGAGGCTGCCACCTGCACGTGTGTTTGCTTTGCAGATTCCACCTTCTTCTGGGTGGAGGCTGACCTTGGACTGGGTTTAGCCGACCCGTTTGGGCAATGACCCTGAGCTATGCTCCCTAACCTAGCTTTCATTGGCAGCAAAGGTGGAGCTTTGTTAGCTCTCTGATGCCTCTTCTGTCCAGAACTTGGTGACTTGCTCTTCTTGGGCCCCTGGAGGACCTGGAGAATGCTATGGGCAGCCAGGCTTCTGCAGGCAAGGCCTGGCCTCCAGCAGAGGAAGAAGATGTCCTGACCTGGTTTGTCACTTCCCCGGGGCTCCTGGTGAGATCCCTGACTGTCTTTTTGGCTTCTTTGTGATATACATGGACAAGTTTCTCCCAAGCTCGTCATGGAGATATTTGTACCAAAAGAGAAACTAACAGGAACAGTAAACCAAAGGGACCCTAAGCAAGGGATTAGTGGATGTTATTCCAATTCCCTGGATCTAAAACCACACATATTTTACAGAAATATAAAATCTGTATTTTTACAGATTTTCACCCATAGTTTCTCTAGCTCAGGAACGTTGGTTGCAATCTAGTTCACTTTGTTCCTGGAAGAAGGACAGCCTGTGACACTGCAGGTTCTGAACTGGGAAGTTCAGACCCCATTTGATGGTTTTCCTACTTCTCTCCCTGTCCTTCTAGATGCTGCAGGATCAGATCAAACATGAACCTCTGCCCTCAAGTCTGAACATCTGAACGTGTGGACTTAAAGCTGGTGCTCCTCAGGGTACAATACAGTCATAGCCCATTCTCTTCCAGAGAATAGTTCTGGATAATGACATTTTCCCTGAAATATGACCACCAAATTCCTGAAACTCATAGTTTGTAGCTATTTTAAAAAGAAAACTTTCAAATAATATGTACTCATGACCCTGCCTTAGTTAACAGAGTGGGCTAGAGCAGAACTTAAATTTGTGTTAATTTAGAATCGCCATCGGACACTCCTGATATCATATTCTGTCCATGGGAGAAATATAGCCTGCCATTTCCCTGAATTCCATCAAATTACCTCCTAGCCAGCCATCTGTGTCCCTGCTCCTATTTTAATAGTCCAAGTTTAATAGTCAATCAATAGACTATTGATTAAATAGTCAATACTTGACTATTTAAGTTTATAGTTAATAGTTTAACTTTTGTACCAGTCCCCTTGGGTAGGCTCTCTAAAACCACAGATATTCATAGAATGAGAATTTTTAGAGCTAGAAGGAAATTGGAGCTTCCAATTTGTCACTGAGGGCAGGATGGCAGGTTGCTAAGGAAACCTGAGAATCCAGTGTTTGTACCACTAAGTCAAGATCTTTCTCTCTTTGTGTCTGAAGGAATCAATGATCAAGACTTTGTCTTGCCATCCATTGCCATCATTGAGGTGAGGGTCTTTTAAACTAATTTACAGCTTAATTTCATGGTCACAGTTAATCTGGAACCAGGTCCAAGGAAGAGAACACTACTGCACCCAGATTCAATCCCACCCACAGCAAGTGTCATAGGGTTTGGAACTCCCTAAGTCCCCACCTACAGTTCATGTGCCTTGCGAGTCAGTGTGGGATGTAGCCATGGGTAACCCTGGGTAGTTAGGAGGTACATGAAACAGTCCAAGCCAAAGGTCAGGGAATGGTGATGAGAACAGAGAAGCGTCCAGATTCACTCCCTGTTCCAAAGTGAGAACTGGTGGGTTTGGTGGTGACTGGTTTCTGGATAAAGTAGGGGGGCATTCTCAGATAAGCCAGCTCTCTAACTTGGATGTGACACAAACCAAGATTGAGAGCACAAAGATGGGAGCTATTTTCAAAGTATAGCTAGCAGGTTTCTGTTTGTACATATATTTGAGGGGACATGGAGGGGGAATACAGTTGTCCCTGGCATAACAAACACTCAGGTTACAACTATTCTGAAAGATGCTTATGGAATTGCTCTGACTAGGAAGATCCTGTGGTAGAAAGAGGCAGGACATGTTGGTTCTCTTGGACCAAGTTCTTTCACTAGCCAGCTATGTTCCCCTAAGCACATCATAACTTTCCTGAAATTTCTGAAACATTTTTTAAAGTCTCTAAAATGAGAATATTTTCAAGGTCTGTTTTCACTGTGACATCCAATGCCAGGTGTATTCTGAGAGGCTCTCTTTTTCCAGGGTAGTATACTTGCTTGTTTTTCTTTCTTTCTTTCTTTCTTTCTTTCTTTCTTTCTTTCTTTCTTTCTTTCTTTCTTTCTTTCTTTCTTTCTTTCTTTCTTTCTTTCTTTCTTTCTTCTTTCTTTCTTTCTCTTTCTTTCTTTCTTTCTTTCTTTCTTTCTTTTTTTTAAGATTTTATTCATTTATTTGAGAGAGAGAGAGAAAACGAGCAGTGGGAGGGGTGGAGGGAAAGAGAGAGAAGCAGACTCCCTGCTGAGAAGGAAGCCCACTGTGAGGCTGGATCCCAGGACGGGGAGATCATGACCTGAGCCCAAAGCAGACGCTTAACTGACTGAGCCACCCAGGTGCCCCTACTTGCTTTTTTTCTTTTTTTTTTTAAAAGATTTTATTTATTTATTTGCGAGAGAGAGAATGAGAGACAGAGAGCATGAGAGGGGGAGGGTCAGAGGGAGAAGCAGACTCCCTGCCGAGCAGGGAGCCCGATGCGGGACTCGATCCCGGGACTCCGGGATCATGACCTGAGCCGAAGGCAGTCACTCAACCGACTGAGCCACCCAGGCGCCCTACTTGCTTGTTTTTCAATCAGTGCTCTTGTGTATTGCCACTGAGTACAGCTGCATCCGCCTTACAGCCTTATCAGCTGTGTCTAGTAGAAGCTTTGTCTCTCTGTCGGGTACTGCCTGCCTCGTACTGTTTGAAGCTGGTGGATTAGGTGATGGTTACCCTCTGCAATAGTTGCAGGACTTAGACTTCCAACACTGTGCTAATTCACTTGCCGTACCCTCTCTGGGACTTAATTGCTATCACACAACCTTAGGAAGGTTTTGTTTTTGTTTTTGCTTTAAGTTGTGGTAAAAAATTACATCACATAAATTCGCCATTGTAACCATTTTTTAAAAAGTGTACAATTTAGTAGCTTTTAGTCCATTCATAGTGTGGTACAACTATCACCATGATAAAGTTCCAGAATATTTTCATGATCCCACAAGGAAATCCTGTACTCATTAAGTAGTCACTTTCCATTTCCCCTTCCCCAACCCCTGGCAACCACTAATCTGCTTCCTGTCTCTTTGGATTTGCTTATTCTGAATTTTCATGTAAATGGAGTCATAAGATATGTGTCCTTTTGTGTTTGGCTTTTTTCACTTAGCATAATGTTTTCAGGATTTGTCTATGTCATGGCATGTGTCAGCGTTTCCTTCCTTTGTATGGCTGAATAATATTCCCCTGTATGTTTATACCACATTTTGTTTATCCATGCATCTACTGATGGACATTTGAGCTGTTTCCAACTTTTGGCTATTGTGAATAGTGCTGTTACGAATGTTCGTGTATAAGCTTTTGCTTGAACACCTGTTTTCAATTCTTTTGGGTACGTACTTAGGAGAAGAATTTCTGGGTCATATGGTAATTCTATGTTTAACTTTTGGAGGAACTGCCAAGCTGTTTTCCATAGCAGCTGAACCATTTTACATTCCCACCAGCAATTTGTGAGGGTTTCAGTTTCTCTGTATCCTCACTAACACTTGTTATTTTTTGATTTCTTTATTATAGCCAACCTCGTGGGTATGAAGTAATATTCCACTGTGGTTTGGGTTTGTATTTTCCCAATGACCAGTGATGTGGATCATCTTTCCATGTGCTTGTTGGCTATTTGTCTATCTATTAAAACCTTTTGCCCATTTGTTTCATTGGATTGTTTGTCTTTTTGTTGTTGAACTGTAGGAGTTCTTTATATATTCTGGATACTAGACCCTTATCAGATGTATGATTTGCACATATTTCTCCCATTCTATGGATTGCCTTTTCACTTACTTAATGGTGTCCTTTGATTTACAAGGTTTAATTTTTGAAGAAATTCAACTCATCTATTTTTTCTTTTGTTGCTTGTGTTTTTGGTGTCATATCTAAGAAAACGTCACCACGCCCAAGGTCATGAAAAGTTACCTTTTTGTGTCTTGTAACAGTTTTATAGTTTTAGTTCTTACATGTAAAGTCTTTGATCTATTTTGAGTTAATTTTTGTATATGATCGGAGGTGGGGATCCAACTTCACACTGCATGTATGACTACTTAGGAAGGTGCTTATCACTGTTAGTTTAAGTCCACAGCAGCTAACCATATTAACTGTGCTATATTTCCATATATTGTTGCCATGCATTGTGGGCACTGTTGATGGTCTACCAGTATCCACTATTCCTTCTTTCTTCCTAACAGAATCCTTGTTTTGTTTAAGTACCTACTTCTCTCCTACATGATTCAGGGTAAAGTGGTCCCACTCTGTGCTCTAGGTCTTGCTAAGCCTAAGCCTGCTCTTCTCATAGTGTAGTCCCTAAGGTCCTTTCAGGAGTTTTACGGGATCAAAACTATCTGTATAATAATACTAAAGTATTATTTGCCCTTGACTCTGCAGCTGACATTTGCACCGATGATGCAAAAACGCTGGTAGGTAGCACTGTCATTGGCACCTATTGTACACACTACAGTTGTATCATTGTATTCTTGCATTGCCCCATGCACACGTAGGGAAAAAAAACCCAACTAGTTTCACTTAATGTCTTTGACGAAGTAAAACATTTTAATTCTATTAAGTTTTGACCCTTGAATACACATCTTTTTGATATCTGTATTTTTAAAAATGGCAAGTATTCATAAATCCCTTCTCTGCATATTAAAGTATGATGGTTGTCTCGAGGGAAAGTACCTGTGTGATTGTTTGGGTTGTGAACTAATTTAGCTCCATTTTTGCTTGAAAGAATGATTGACAAACTATGATGACTTAACTTGAGTATTTGGTAGACATTATCTCAAACTTGGATAAAATGAGCCATTTCAGAGAAAACAGTGGACAGTATTTGTTACCAGTGATAAAGGTCAAGCTTTTGAGCAATATTAAAATTTTGGGGGGCACCTGGGTGGCTCAGTCATTAAGCATCTGCCTTTGGCTCAGGTCATGATCCCAGATCAAGTCCCACATCAGGCTCCCTGCTCAGCAGGAATTCTCCTTCTCCCTCTGCCCCTCCCCCACTCATGCGCGCTCTCTCTCTCTCTCTCTCTCTCTCTCAAATAAAAAAATAAAAGAATTTTGGAAAATTTGTGTTTGCCACTGTGAGCTTGACATCTTCCCAATATTTACTGATAGCTTCCCAATATTTAAAGACTTTTCTGATAAGATCAGTGGTGATATTAATTAGATTATTTTGATATTGTATAATGAAATGTATCAATATCTGGAAGATCTGCATAGCTCAGTGAACTAATATTTTCCAAATGACCAATGCTTGACTTTACAAAATTATGTGTGGGTCAAAGATCCATGCAAGGTGCAAGATAGACCAATGGATATAACAATATAAAAAGTTCACTGATATGGTTTCAGATCCACGTTATAACTAATCTTCAGGAAATTAATCTTGAGTTTTAGTGTAGTATCAAGAATATCTACAATGGGGCACCTAGGTGGCTCAGTCGTTAAGCATCTGCCTTTGGCTCAGGTCATGATCCCAGAGTCCTGGGATCAAGCCCCGCATCGGGCTCCCTGCTCCTCTGGAAGCCTGCTTCTCCCTCTCCCACTCTCCCTGCTTGTGTTCCCTGTCTCGCTGTGTCTCTCTCTGTCAAATAAAATCTTAAAAAAAAAAAAAAAGAGTATCTACAATGATCTAACAAAGCTACTAAAATGCTTCTTCCTTTTCTAACTACATATCTCTATAAGACTAATT